TCCTCTAGCGATGAAATGTTGGAGTAGACTCTTCAAACACTGGCTCCAATGTTCTCCAGGGGCGGATTAAAGCGTCTCCCAGAAGCCAAGTGCCTTTTTCTGGTTCCGTGTTTGCTCTCACTCTAATGCTGAACTGTTTATTCTGATTACACTGGGCCGGCATCATTAATTCTCACCTTGGGGGTTCCTTCTCTTCTCCAAGCACCAGCAACAATTAAACGTTTGTTCAGCTTTTGTTATTGCACTGGAAACTTCGGTGCAGCTCAGACGGAGACACGAACGCATCAGATTTATTTGATAGAATGTAAATGCTTCACATAAGCAACTGGAGCTATTATTATTGTAAGATCCAAAGAAGGACCAGAGAACACAGGCCTTTCAAAAAAATGTGGGAAATTGTCCCAAACAAACAAACGATTAAAATCTAAATGTATTGGTTGAGAGCATAAACATTATTTGCAGAGGCAAGCATCACGTAAGAATCCACTTGTGCATAAAATTCCCCTTTGTATAAAAGAAAAAACTGAAACTGCAGTTCATCAACTGACCACTAGAGGAGCCACCACCATGCTTCGCATCATATTTTTGAGTACAACCCCAGCTTCCTTTCTTACAAATATTTTTTCATTATATTAACAAATCTATCAACTGTGCAAAAAATAATCTTTGTGCGAAATTTGACCTTTTTTACTGCAAAAATCTAAAATAAAAATGTTCTGATAGTAAATAAAACTTATAAATACAAAAATCTGAAAATTGTATATACACATATAAAAACCTTTCCTAATATAATTTTCGTTCCATTAAGCAATAAAGTTTGAAGTGTTATTGTTAATAAAGTTTACACACAAACAAAAGATTTTCAGCCTTGTGGCATTGAAACCTCCAAAAACAGCTTAGTTTGCATCAAGGGAAAAGAAACATTACTTTTGTATTTCATCACAAATCTGTTTTTATGACGTGTTCTTCTTTAGTTTGTGTGAGGGGATCAAAAGCTTTGATTTCCCAAACAAGGCAAGAACCGCGGCGCTTAAGAAAATGATCCGAGCCTGATTGAAAAGACTTATGTTCACCTCAGAGCCTCGTGTTCTTCCTAAATCAGAACTAGATTCTCTGCTCATCGCACCGCAGAGAAGCAGAACTGTATAAATAATGGAAAACAAAAGCAATGGAGAGCAAGTCGTCTGCTGTTGCTTTCCCTCTTCCTCTTGTAAAAGCTGCAGGGACAGATCCCTCTCGTGACGTGTGAACAGAAGGAAGTGACATCATCAAGCTCAGAGCGTTAGAGAGCAAACACACGGCGATCTGAGCCGCCAGCAAATAAAATAAATAAAAGATACAATTCTTCAGATGGAATTTTTATATTCTGTTTTTATTCTTTATTATCAAAACACAAACGTTTGAACCATGGGACTTCATCATTCAAGGTTTTCCATCATTTCATTTTTATTCTTTTGTGTCCTGATCTGATCTCTATTTTTTATAGTGTATCTAGAATTCTATTTATTTGTAAAGTAATAATATCACAGTATTATCACATGTTTATACACAATATAAAATCAAGTTGTTTTGTATCATATCATACTGTTTTGATCATGTAGAGAGCGTTCCTCCACAGACGAGGAATATGTACAGAATAATTACTGCAGGAGCCACTGCTAAACTGTTCATTACCACACTGCTTTCTACCGCATCAAGCACCAAACCCTGAGCTGCTACGGTGAAATTGACTATTCTGAGACTTTTACACCTTTAGCATTTAATTAATGCACATAATTAGGAACCCTAAATCCTCACACCTGGTTTTACACCGTCTAATCAGTTACCAAAATCATATTAGAGCCTGCAGGCTGCATGGGAGAGAGAGAGAGAGAGAGAGAGAGAGAGAGAGAGAGAGAGAGAGTAGCTCCTGTCGGCCTCTGCTGATTGCCATTCGAGTCTGCCTTGCTCCCCGGGGAGCAGCGCCAGGCCTTGAGCAGACATTTATTAACACGACAGATTAATAGCACCAGGGAAAAGACATTTTCACAAACATGATAAATATTAATAATAATCAATACTAACTTACATTTGCCAAATTGAGTTGCAAACATCACCCATGGGGGAGCAAATGGAGAGCAGCAGAGGGAAAGAGAGAGAGAGAAAGAGAGAGGGAAGCTGCATGCAGGAAAGAGGTAAGGTTTGCTAATAAGTGCCAGAAGGTCTCCGGCGTCTGGGTAATGACCGTGCCCTCCACAAACACCGCAGCTCGTTCCCTCACTCCGCTCTGGATGTTATACACGCAACACTTCGATAAGCGTTCATCTGAAACCCTTGATAGCGCAAAATTTCTCCTCTTAAACACAATCCCAGCAGTTTGATTTCAGAGGGGAGCCGTGGCTAAACGTAAGCAAAGATTAGCCTCAGTAGCTCTTCTGAGAAAGTTTAATAGCATTTAGATTAAGAATAATTAATCCACACGCAGCAGATGCCGATGAAAACGTAAATGCTTTAAAATAAGCTGATGGAACTTTACATATTAATAATTACATTTCATTCACGGTTTGTTTCAGAAAACATGAAATCAAGAACACATTCACCTAAAAGAAGCTAGAAAACACTTTCACAAGAAATAAAATGAGTTGAGCTTTGCAGTATCTGAAATAAATGCACTTATTATGGGAAAAATACTCATCAAAACATTGTTTTAATTGCTCCCGAGATACACTGGCCATCCTTCTGTAGCCATCGATGCGTCCTGCGGAATCCCTTTCGATAAAACCGTTTAAAAGGAATTTTGTTGAGCTGCAGCTTTCATGAAAAAATCAATTCTTCGGCTCCGTATCGCTGAAATCTCTTCTAGGAGCAAAACTAGCGAGTGACTGAAAGTTTTTGATTCAATCATCTGTTAAATCCATAAATGCAAATCAACTGACATGAAGTGCCATCTAGTGGTGAAAATGTTACATATTTTACTTTTGTGGTGTATTATAGATGTATAAAACCTAGACAAGACGAGCAAAGTTTAACAACAACCATCAGATGAGAGAGAAAAAGAAGATTAAACAAGCCGAGAGAAGCACAGAATAAAACGAGTTAGAAAGATCCAATTAATCAATTAAGGCCACAATGTATCGAGATTCACGTATCGCGTATCGCAGTAGAATCGGAAGAATCTCTACAGTTGGCTGAAAGTGACTCTGGGTCAAAACGTTACGGTGAAATTTCCACCGACGTATGAAACCGTTGCGGGGTTCAATTGATCAATTGGCCAAAAATATTTAACTTTTTACACAGGGGGAGAGAGAGAGAGAGAGAGAGAGAGAGAGACAGAGAGAGAGAGAGAGAGAGAGAGAGAGAGAGAGCAGCATTCATTCCAGTCAGCCGCACTGGTTTGAGCTCTGAGTCGAGGAGGGGAATGATTTTCACCTCTGGCTCACAGAGCACTCTCCACCTATACATCACCCGATTACTCCTGGACTGGCCGCGCTCTTAGTCATTAGCCAGTGAATTAACGACAATCCAGCAGGCTATTAATCACCCTGACAAAAGTGTTAGCATGCCAGTGACCCGCCGGCGCTCCGGGAGCCGATCGAACGAGGAGATCCACAGGAGAACAGCAGAGAGAGAACAGAGAGTTCCGACTGAAACAGACCTCAGATCATCTCCTGCTGCTCCTCATGGAGCACCTCACCTCGGCGCCTCTAAATACACAACCTCACACGGCTCGAAATGGAAAATCATCAAAAGTGTTCTCTCAGCATTTTACGCTCCAAAACCTCTGCTTTGAGCTCAAAGATGTTCTGGGATCCCTGAGAAATAAAGCATCAGCTTCTGTGTTCAGCTGAGACCAAGAATGTTTCGACGAATCTGAAAATAATTCATATTTATCTCTCACATAAAACCAATAAAAGATCCCACACCATTGTTTTATTAACAACCACGAAATAACATTTCGACTCTATTCACTTCACAAATGCCAAAAAAAAAAAATCAAATTATGTTCAAATAAATATCAACAAAATAAATGCATTTGAAAATAATTTATTATTTAGTGAATTTATTATTTATTTTTTTGTGGTGTATTCAAATAAATTGCTCACACATGCACTTTATGTAATAATTTATTCATTAATCAGGATGAAATAAAAACGTAAAAAAACATTATTTAATATAAAAAAAACTTACATTATTATATTAGTTATAATATATTAGTCTTAATTTGTTATGCCTGATTATTTATTAAAGTTAGTTAAATGTATTTTATTTATTTGTTTTTTATGTTTCTCAGATTTATTCTATTGCCTATTTTAATGTCCTGAAAATATTACAGGTTAAAAAAATATATAAATTTTAAAATATATTAAAAAATATTAGGTACTTTGTGTGCAATTATAAGTGAATGGTGTGTGATTATATTCCAGATTTTAATTAAATGAGTCCATCATCACTAGCATCTACATGCAGCCTGTAATTAAACAGAAATGGATTCGATTCATGTGAAGATAATGTTTACTAAAGATCGGTTTCCTTCAGCTCAAGCTCAGATTTCTTTATCGTTTATGTATTGATCGGATTCAATGATGCTTCATCTCTCTGACTTCCTGTAACGTCCTGGTGATCGCCCTCTCACTGAGCGAACTCAGGCGAGTGGGTCAAGCGAATTAGCTGCGGCCGTTCAGTGAGCTAGCCTCCGCGCTGGGCAGGCTAATCATGCTGTTCTGCCTCATTGAGCTACAGAGAGAGAGAGAGGGAGAAGAAAAGAGAGCGAGGAAAAGAGAGAGAGACTGACCACTCAATATAGAAGCTGAAAAAACTGAGGCCAAATGGAGTGTGGAGTACAAACACAGCGACGCATTTTCTGCACGGAGCGACCGCATTACCTACTTCTGCCAAAATATGGAGCACAACAGATCTCTCACCCGAAGACTGCACCAGACCAGAGCAGATTAAACAAGACTCGACTGAGCACGTTTTACACGTTCCAGGAATAGAAGAATAGACATCTGTCATGAAATAGATCTGTCCTGTGCCTCAGTCCGTAGAGCATTGCGCTGGCAACGCAAAGGTCATGGGTTCAAACACCAGGGAAAGCAAGAATTAACTGAATGTGTTAATTGCTTGAAATGTAAGTCGCCTTGGATAAAAGCGTCTGCCAAATGCATGAATGTAAATGTCTCCAGGCTTTCAAACAAGTTTGTGCCGAAATGGGGTTTAGCAAAGTGTAAACAATGACATCACAAACCACCCCGGGCTCATCCCCACAGATCAGAACACACACCAAAACAGCTAGCACAGAGAAAAAAATCATACACAAACTACAATGTGCTTTCTGCGTCGGGTGAGCAGAAATACCGTCGCGTACCTGCAGATGGCAGTAGTCTGTATTCTCACTCTGAGAGCAGAACCCGGAAGTATTTGAATAGCACTTTTCTGTAATGTCGTACAATACTTGACCAGCTCGTATTAAAAAGCTCCTCACAGCCAGAGGTCGTTTATTTTCTTGTCACATTCAATTCCTCCAAGCATTGTGATTCGATGTCTGAACAGCCAATCAGAGCGCTCACTTTCACAACTGATTCAACATATTCAAATTCAGGCAAATTCTACCAAAGTGAGCCCAGTGAACTGCGTAACTCACCGAACCAACACTCTTCACAACTGCCTGACGAAGCCTGCAATGTCACTTCATGAACACTAGAGGACAGTGTTCCGCTGAGTTCACCTGTCGTAGATCTTATCAACAATCTTTGAAGAAACAAAGGTCGTACAGATGGTTGTACTTCTGCTCATCTTCTACCGATCACACATCAATGATTTGGATACAAGCGTATTTGGCTCCATGACATCACTCCCGAAATGCTCTGCAACCCACCAGACCAATCACGGAGCTCACTGTTAAGAGTCGTGGGCGGAGCTTGTTTTTGCTAGATTTTGCTCAAAGGGGGTTGAGTTTGATTAGGCAGGTTACTCTTCAAACACCCGGAGAAGTGAACCTGCAATTCATCTACTGGCCACTAGAGGCCGGTCACAAATGGGAGCAGATCCCACAGACTCCCCCAGATAAAGTGCACAACTTTCACTTTCACCTTTTCATAACTTCATCACAACTTTCAGACAGTGCCTGAACTTTCAGAAACCTGATCCAGTCTGAACAGACACCATCTCCCCTCTCTTGACCTTCTCGAGTCCACAACTTCAGCTGAGCCTGACATTTATGAAGAAATGACCGCGCCGGGGACAGGGGACTTTCTGAAATGTCACACAGAGGGAGATACGCCATGCATTCTTTGGAAACTGAACGTCGGTTAATTTATATTTTAAATATTTTAATTTGATTTACTCTCTAAAAATGAAGACCAAATAAACATTTTTCATTTGACAATTAAATCAAAACTTCAAACGGCAGATTTAAAAATAGCACACATATTTTAAATAATGAATTGAAACTATATCTATATTTCAGTAAATTAGCAATCAATAGAAAATAGAATAAAAACGTAGATGTTATTAGTATTTGTTATATAATCATGCAAATGCAAACAAAATTCCTCTCGAGGGATAAACCCACGGTTAGACGCTTTGACACCAGGTGCGTTTATTTGGTTCTGTTGTGAGCAGGGGTCAATCTGCTTATGCCCGAGCCACTTAAAGCTAAGCCAGGGAACGTTCTCCGGCCGTCAGACCTCACTAGAGTAAATCTGATCCTGTGATGCTGATGAAGACCTGCGGGTTCAGAGCGATGAAACATGCTCACGTCACATCAGAGCTGCAGAGAGGATCCGGCTCTCTGCAGGCGATCGGGGTTTGAACAGAAGGAATTCAGATGCGCCTCCTTTACATGAGGAGAGAGATGCGGAGCACTGCTCTTCTGATCATCATCATCATCATCATCACCACCATCACAACTCAAAACTCCATGGAAATAAAAACATAAGAGATGAAATTACTTTTAAAAAATGGTAAATAATAAAACACTTAAGCATTTTTCAAAAACAATCGTAATTGCAAAAAATAAAGAAATAAAAAAAAATTAAAAGTAATGTAAAAATGTTTTTAAATTAACAAAATCTAATGAAAAACAGCTGAAAAAGAAAAAAAATACTTTCAATAAATAAATAATAATGAATAAAAATATATGAAAAGGGGAAAAACAATACAATAACTGTACTAAAAATAAAAACAAAATTAACTAAAACATAAAAATATAAGAAATATTTTCATTTTATTAAATAAATAGATTATTTAAACTAAGTTTTACCATTTGAAGAATAAAATCAAATAATAAACTCTATGCAAATAAAAAAATAGAAACATTAAAAATATATCTTTTATTTTAATCAAATGAATAAAACAATTCTATAAAAATCTACAAATTCTGGGAAAATCTATTAAACTGAAAATATTTTATTAAACTGAATTTTAAATGTATACTAGTAAAAATGATATGTGCATGTTTATTTGATAAAAACAAGATGTATATATTTAAACTATACTAATGTATGATCGATTTCTTTGTGTTTACTCAGTTAATTTTTTAATTAGTAATTAGTAACGACTGATACGCATCTAAATGACTCAGCGTTTCCTTTCAAAGCAAAACAATCTCTCGAATCGATAAATCCATCAATCCGTTTCATGCCAGGCTCTGAAGAGGAAGTCGTCGAGCTGAGCTGCAGGAAGGAAGCAGGAAAACAGATGCGGCGGGCGACTTTACGAAACAAGTGCACTGAAGAACAATACAGAGGAGCGCTGAGAACCTGCTCGGCCTCTCCGGCAATCACTCATGCCACAATGCCACATCCACGCCTGACAAACAAAGGCTTGGCTCCGAGAACTCTGGGAAAGCAGCTCTGGGCTTCTTCTCTGATGGGTGTTCAGAGCAGAGAGGGATCTCCACTGTTCACCGCTAGAGACTCTCCGGTGCCGCTGCACGAGTGAAGCCGAGAAGGAAGAGACTGAAACTGCAGTTCTTCCACTGACCTCTAGTGGCAACATTCTCAATAGCGAACTACCCCCCCCCCTGCTAATGCAACTGCTTCCGTGCTAGTGTGAACGATGTTCATGTAGCTGCTGCAAAAGTATCTTCCTTTGTAAAAAAAAAAAAAAGCAATGAAACTGCAATCCCATACTGTGCTGTAACTTCTCTTGTAAATCCTTGTGCACACTCAAATCAGTTTTTTGTAACTTAAACAAGAACGTGTCGTTTTTAAGGACAAAATGAAGAAAATGAAGAATTCAAGGCTGAGAATGTGTTTTTCAGAGGCTCTGCTGCAGGAGAAATGATGCTTTTAAAGAAAGATTTGTTTAAAGACATCTCCGTCCTAGCGAGACCAGGCCTTGCGGAGCGCTAACTAGGCCAGGCTCCACGCTGTCCTAAATGCTTAACGATGCAGCGGTATTCCTTCACGTAATTAACATTCAGCAGAGCATGTGACTTCATTAGCGACACCAGACCTGTTTCGTTCACATAAATAACAGCTCGTACCTGCGCCACGTGTGCAGCACAGAGCTCCGAGAGCGAAAGGCAATTTTCCTGTTTAAAGCGCCAGCGATTGCAGCGAATTCCAGATAATTGGCTGGTAATTAGGGGGGTCGTCGGGTCGATTCGGGAACAAATGGTCTCCTTTAGCAGAGGTGGTCTCAGGGGTAATCTGAGCTGACCCGCCTGCTTTGTCTCTGTTATCTCTGCCCACCGCGTGACATCCTAAATAAGGTGTCCCTCTCCGGGGACCAGAGGCGCACTGCAACTATTTGTCACGTCTCAGACAGTGGCTGCTCAGAGCTCTGTCGCTGCTCCCCGTGGAACCTCTGCACATTTCTGGGGGGTCATAGAGGATGCGGGCTGAATAAATACCCCAGCGGTCCTCCTGAGATCCAGCGCCTCGCTCCAGAGTCAGATGAGCAACCTTTGGTGCCACACAAGCGTGGCTCCAGACATTAACCGCAGCCAGAGGCCTCAACAGCACTGCGGCTCGGAGTTTGTTCCAGTTTAGAGGAAAGAAGAGATGTTTATAACGCTATAAGTTTCAAGAACCTCAGCTGAGCATCAGGTGCATCAGATCTGAGATCTGTAACCAGTCAACAGAAGAGTTTCAGTGGAAAGATGATTTACTCTAGTGATAAATGTTGAATTATGTGATGATACAGCAGCAGAAATTACGAAACACGACCGAAAGAAACTTTTTAAAAGTGTATCATAAAGACTTTATCAGCGGCTGATGTGATTCATTCATGTACAACTGACGAGCCTCAGGAAACCACAAGCCTTTCGTGCTCCCCTCCGTTACATGCTGCAAGAAACACACATCTCTGGACACAATGGATTTCTCTGGAAGCATGATGTACAGTGCTGTGCCGGGGCGGAAAAAAAAGCAGGAAACTTTTCAGGAATTCAATTTAACGATTTACAAATTGCAAAGTGAGGGAACGTGTGCACTTACACAGTCTGGGTTACAGTCAGGTGTAAGACTCTCCAATGAAACCAAACCAGTGCTAATGATCATTTATGTCTAAACCCAGTCATGAACTGAAACAGAAACAGCTGTGTAGGCGGTTTAACCTGGGTGAAAAACAACAAAACTCAGCTACCATTGCAGAGTTATGATATTGGGAACGAAGCATAAAATATCCACCAAAACATGTCAGCAGGGCTGCAATTCTGCAAAAGGAGATGGAGGTTTGGGAAGCATATCCATCATGCGATACGATCTGGCAGGCAAGTGACAGGCCCCAAATTTATTCTGCAGCGATAACCCCAAACAAACAGAACCATCTAGAGCTCCATATAGAAGCATAGAGAGCGTCATGGAATGTGTTTATGGGATCGCAGCTGCATCCAAGCCATACATCACCAAGTGCAATTCATTTACTCGAGGCCAATCCTCATGTAACAGGAGTGATATAATTTTGATCTTGATTCAACAAAGTGAAATAAAATACGGAAACATCATTATATCTGCCTTCCAACATGCCTTCGAAGAAAGCACCAATGTCACGTGACAGAGGTTTTCCTGGAACCGGACAAAACAGACACGATGCAACACGTAACAAGGAACAGCATCGGGCCGATCACAGAGTGATGTGGGATGCCGGG